GTCCGTAATCTCTATTTAATTATTTAATTTAATTTTTTATTTATATTTTTCTTGAAGTTACTAACGCATGTATTTTGTAATTAGAAAGAGGTAAGAGACATTCAAGTAAGTGCTTTAATTGTTTTAATTGATATTATGATACAGAAATCATGTTTAGGTTATTATTTTGATTCCTAGTATCATGTTAGGATGCTTTGCTTAGTATGATGTTTATGTTAAGAATAAGTTTCTTTTTCATATCAATTATGATTTCTATGACACTTCCTACTTTCTTTCTTAATATCATGTTAGTATCATGCTAGGTCTAAAGCTTTAATCTTTATTATTTAGTGACATGCTAGAATTTGTTATTAATCTTGTTAGTATCATGTCTAGGATCTTGGTATTATTATGCTTTAACATGATTATTTTTCTTGTTATTATTATTATTATTATTATTATTATTATTATTATCATTATTATTATTATTATTATTATTATTATTATTATAATTATTATTATTATATTATTATTATTATTACTATTCTTCTTCTTCTTCTTCTTCTTATTATTATTATTATTATTATTATTATTATTATAATTATAATTATAATTATAATAATAATTATTATTATTATGTTGCTTCATATATATTTACTGTTATTGCTAGATCACACCTTTTTTGCATGTTTAAAGGGAATTGGTACTTGTAATCACGCTTAATAAGATAATTAATAATCTTTTTAAGGGTTAATTTGATTATTATTCAAGTGATCGCCAATAATAGTTTTATTTGTGCATTAATATTCAACCAACATAGATTAAACAGGTTTAGAGTTAACCTATTGATTGCATGTTAGTCAGAAAGCGCACATGAATACGAGTAGAATAAAGTAGAGGCCTATTATTAGGGCGAGTTCTTTCTCTTTTAGATTGGATTTGGACCATCATCCCCAAACTTCCAGTCTTTGTTCCATACCTATTGGAGTTGACGATCTCCTGGATCATTAAGGGGTGTAACCTTCACCCTGTGAACGGTTTACAAGTTCCTAAAACTTGTTGGAGACTCTTTTGCTCTAGTTTCCTTCCCTTTGGACGCCACCGTACTTAAGTGTATGATCATAGTGTGCTTCAAGTTTGGGGTAATGCTTGAAATATTCCCTACAACATTACATTATGATTGTAATTGTGAAAGTTTTGAGTCAAGACATTTACTTGGCAACATATATTCAATATTTTGCGATATGATCGTGATAATGAGAATTTAAGCCATAACCTTAATAGACATCCAAGAGTTATGAAATTGTTTTACAAACAAACTCCAATAGAAAACCTTATGAAGTGTTTATAAAAGGAGCTATCAACCTATATAAGATATATTTTGATAATGGATGAAAATACCCAATCGTCTAACCATTTTTCAAGGGATATACTTTTAAGATGAGCTACAAAACTAAACAGAAGTACATATGTCAAATAAAAGTGTATCACAAGCTTCATATGTGATATGGATAAGAAAAGTTCTTATAAAGTCCTTATACAAAGTAAGGAATAATATGTATTTAATTGTTTAATACACGTTCAAGTTCTACACAGAGTACGGGGTACTACTACACAACTCATGCTTAGCATAAATTGTTTGTTGCTCAAGTAGCTGCCCTTATGGAAAACATGTCATTTCCAAAAGGTCAAGTGGGAGTAGTGTAAATCTTAAAAGAGTTCAAGAAAAGCAACAAACAAACATGGTTCAAGCCGTGGTTGGTTTACCCTATGCTAAATATGCCTTTTCAAAAGGTAAGTGGGAGTATAAGAATCTTGAAAAGTTTGAAAGCCTTGAAAGAGTTCAAGAAAAGTAAGTTTGAAAATCTTGAAGAAATTCGAGAAATAATCAAATAAAAGCAGCAATATGAGCATGATTCACCTCATGTTACAAATGACAACGCGTGGTCTCATTAAGTGTAATGAGTTTAATAACCACGTGTCGAAGGTATTTCATTCCAAGTGCACAACCTCTATCGTTGTTTCTCATTGATAACTAAACAAAGTTGTTGTCAAGATTAAGTTGTTGCATAAAAACCCACAATGATGACCAACATACGTAACACTTAGCCAAAGAATGATTTCATATTGACTAAGAGTTCTAAAATATTTATTTTGGAACATAATAATTATGCAAGTAATAAAGATGATTTGACAAGATATAACTCCAAGTGGTTTAAAAACCATGGAAATCTTATATAGATTCTATGTTTATAACTAAGTGTATGACACTTGATTAATTTTCCTAATAGGGTGAGACCCATTATAAGAAAAACTGACAAGAAAGAAAAATGTTTTCTAACCAAAACATATGAGACTTGTTAAAGGATTCAATAGATTCATGGTATGACTATGATTGTGATGAAACCTTTACATTAGTCATGCTGTAAAGATCTATTAAAGATATTTTAGTGATTTCTACTTTATGAGATTTGGTAGACGGACTTCAAAAACACTTTCTTTATATGGTTTATAAAAGAAGATTTGTATACAATACAATCAGAATAATTTTGAAAATCCAATAATCCTAACGATGTATAAGAGGTTCATTTATGGATCAAAGAAAACATAATGGAGTTAGCATTCTTAATTTTGTGAGTTAATCAAAATTGTTTGATGTTCTCATAAAATGAAGATTTTATGTATACAAGATGTTTAGTGGGAGCTATGAAGTCTTTTTGGTCTAGTAGAAAGAGAAATTATTAATTTCTTGAAGGGTTAAGTAATGGCAAATGCAATTTGTATGAAAAACCTTGAAGAGGAAGATGAGTGCAGTTAGGAGTCAAGATCTATTGAGATAGGTCTCTAAGGATGTTTGAGTTTGGTAAAGAAACTTAAATTGATAAAACTCTTATAAGATTCAACATTATATATTGAAAAGAGTTTCATTCTCATATAACATGGCACATTGCTTGAAAATTCATTGCTTTGAGAAAGGTTGATGAAATTAAGGTTTTAAATGATGATTTTTATGCATGCATTTTGCAAAGGATGCATCATGCATGCCATGGCCTATACTCATCTATTTGGTTCACATATTTTAAGAACAAGTGATGATAGATTTCAATCGAAATCCAACGTAACATTGGAATACAATTAGAAATTTCTAATTCGTAGTAAAAAGATGAAGGAAAGTTCCCAGTGGATGGAGATGAATATTTATTATTAAAATTTAGAATTTGCAAAATTCATATTTATGAGAATGTCTCATGAATCATTGATGAGTGTCATTTATGGCACTCATAGGGTAGTCTTTTAGGATGATTTCATCTCATTTTCATGCTTTCTTATCTTATTTTTGGTCCTTTTTCCTTTAGTTCCTTTCTTTCTTTGTGTTTTTCTTTCCTTTTATTTGGTCCTTTTTCCCTTTTATTCCTTTCCTTTGTTTGTTCTTGTAGGTACCTAGGAGTTGTCTTTGCAAGGGGATCAAGATGAAGTATATTGACTAAGCAAGGAGGAAGCAATCTCCTCGGAGAAGGCTTGGAGAGGCCTCAGCGAGGGCTTGGAGAGGCCTTGGAGAGGGCATCAAGTCCTGCCAGGTTACTGCGGGCGCGGGTCTTGAAGGCCGCGGGCGCGGGCTCGTTTGCACCAAATTAGCCAATTTTGACCAGGAACTCTCCGCGGTCTGGCCAAGGGCTCCCCGCGGGCGCGGGTAGATGGGAGAGACCGCTCCAGATTAGAGAGACTACGGCCCTCTCATCACCCTTTGGGGACAAGGGATTAGCCGCGCCCTTACCGCGGGCGCGGGCTAGAAGACCCGCGGGCGCGGGTATTGCCAAGATAGCCCGCGGAGTTTGTTATGGGTACTGTATCTATTCCCCGAGGGCGCAAGGTTTCTTAGAGAGGGCGCGGGGATTCCGTTTTCCTTCTTTACCTATAAATACACTTGTAATTCGTTTTTGAAAGCCAACTTTTAGATAATTTTCATTAGCTTAGTTTTAGAGAGAGAAGTTCTTGGTTTTGGATTTGTATTTCAACTTTGGATCAATTGTGCTTGGATTTGTTCATCTTCAATCATTAATATTAGTGAGAATCTCTTCTTTTAGTTCATCTCTTTACTTGTTTGTTTTAGTTTCATGTTTGATTGTTTGATTTACTTGGATTTGAATTTGATATTGTAGTTAATATTGTTTTTTCATGATTTTGAATTAGAATGATGATCAATGCTATTTCTAGTGATTTGTTCTTCAGTAACACCATGATTAGTGAGTGGATTAGTTGCTAGGGAGAAGGGGAAACATGCTTGATTGATAATTTTTGCTAGTTGATGATCATTGATTGATTGAATTTTTGCAATTAAATTGGTTAACATAGTTTTGCATGTGATTAATTAGATTAAGAGTGATCAACCTATAAGATTAATCTAGATTGCATTGCAAATCTTAATGAAATGAACCATCAATTTGAGAATTTCTTTTAACGATTGAGTTTGATTGTGAATTTTCTTGATTAGCCATTCATAGTGACCCCTAGATTGGCCTCTAAGAGATAGCTCTTGAATTCTATTTATTGCTACTATTGTTTGTCCTTTGCAACGATTGAATCAAGTGAATGAACTATCAATTAGCATGTTTATTGAACTTTCATGTGGAACTTATATCCCTAGTGTTTAGTTTCCTGAATTACTTGATTAGTCTAGCTTTGTTACCATAGTACCAACCATTTTCTAATTACAATCTTCAAAGTAGCTTGACTTAGGCTATAGTTAATACCGACTCACTCCTTTGGGTTCTACCCTGTACTTTTCTTATACTTGGATTAGGTTTGTTTAGGATTTTATAAATTTTGTTTGATTTTGGGATAGACAATTGATGACTCGTTTATTCCTCTATCAAAATGGCGCCGTTGCCGGGGAGTGATATTGGTGCTTAGCTTTAGTTGTTGAGTCTATTTCACTTTAATTGAAAAATACAAAATGATTTTGTTTAATTTCTTAAGGCTACATTTGTAGCCGTGCTACTAATATTTTCATTGATTTTTCCATGCATAGAGCTCGTGATCGATCCGTTGTGCCTTTTGACCCGGAAATTAAAAGGACTCTCTCAAAGAGAAGAATTGCTAGTCCGTCCTTGGAGTTTAGTTCCTCAAGCGAAGAAGAATTTGAAGAAGAACTAAGCATGGGAGAACAACCAAGAGTTGCTTGGAAAGAATTGGGAATTCCCGGTGCGTACAAGTTTGAGAGTGGAATTGCTCCACCTACAACACCGGCGAATGATTTTGAAATTAGGCCGGCTATGGTCGCTTTGATCGAGAGGAGACAATATAGCGGAGCTAAGAATGAGAGTTCGTTGAACCATCTCAAGGAGTTTGAAAAATATTGCAACACTATCAAAGTGAACTGAGATTCTCAAGAGTTCATCCGGCTAAAGTTATTTCCCTTTTCTCTCATAGGGCGGGCCTTGGAGTGGTTGGATAAGGAGGTAAAGCCAAACTCCCTAAGAACATGGGATGAAGTCACCAAGGAATTCTTGTCTCGATTCTACCCACAAAAGAAAACGGCGGAGGCTAGCGCTTTGATTCAAGGGTTCAAGCAAAGACCTAATGAAAGCCTTTACGAAGCATGGGAGAGGTATAAAGAGTACCAAAGGGAGTGTCCCCACCATGGAATTCAAACCTATCAAGTCATTAAAATTTTCTATGGTGGCCTAACTCTTCAAGGAAAATCATGCCTTGATAGGGGAGCCAGAGGTCCCATAATGAATAGGAAGGAAGAAGAAATGGTGGACATTATTGAGGATGTGGTGAAGTATTATAGAGATTGGCAAGATGGTGAGAGGGATTCAACTAGCAAGAGTGGCTCTTCGGTGTACTATATAGACCATCTAAATGCGATCAACAACTTATCCTCACAAATGACAAACTTGGGGAAAGAAATGACCGCAATCAAGGCCAAGTTGGAAAGCTCCTCTTCTTGTCAAGCTTCGAATCTTCCCTCCCAATTTAAGGGGAGAGGTACTCTCTCTAACTGTCAACCCCCTCCCTCCTAAAATAATATGCCTAGTGGTTTCTTGTTTTGTGATGCATGTGGATCTTATGATCATGACTCTTATAATTTCCCTCATGCTTCTCCAGAATGTGGTGATAATTTTGATAATAATGAGAGTGAGCATGTGAATTATGTGTCAAACAATAATGTGCAAAGGTTTGATAATCAAAGAGGTCAATGGAATAGGAATTACCAAAACCAAGTTAATTTTGACAATTATAATCAAGATGGTGGTTATAGGAATCAAGGGAACCACGGTTCTCGTGGTAACTATAACAATCAAGGTTATAGTAGTCAAAATCAAAACAAAAATTATGGTAATCAAAACCAAAGTTATGGAAATCATAACCAAGGTAGTGGAAACCATAATCAAGGTTATGCTCAAAATCAAAATAGGGGGTAATTGGAACAATCAAGGTAGGGACAATTTTCAAAATAATACTCAAAGTGGTCCCCACCCAGATTTGTTCCAAAGACTCAAGGTGAAAATTCCTATTCACAACCTTCTTCTTCTAGGACTAATTTAGAGGAAATAATTGAAAATCAAACCAAGTTGTTGAACACATACATGGCCGTTAGTGACAAGAAATTAAATGACATGATGGCCTATAACAAAATGCTCGAAAACCTAATTTCTCAACTTTCTAATGCTTTAAAAGACCAAGCAAGCCCTTCGTCTTTACCTTCCCAAGGCCTAAATCCCAAGAAACCCGTGAATGTTATTGTTACAAGGAGTGGTAAGGTTCTTGAGGAGAGATTACCTAGGAGGAGTGAAGACAAGGAGGTCCCCAAAGAAGCTTTGGTTGGGAATGAGGGAGATAGAGCATCTTTAGATGAGGTTGTGTTTTAGACACCAAGAGAGGTGAGAGTAGAGAAATAGATTGTGATACCCAAACTCCCTTATCCCCAAAAATTCATGAGACACAAATTGGATGAGCAATTTGGGAGATTTATTGATATGCTCAAAAAACTTCACCTTTCTCTACCTTTCACCGATGTGATTAACCAAATGCCTATCTATGCCAAATTCCTCAAAGACATTTTGAGTGGGAAAAGGACTTGTGATGTTGTGGAGACTATCAACTTGACTGAAAATTGTAGTGCGATCAACATGAACAAATTTCCACCCAAGTTGAAAGACCCCGGAAACTTCTCCATCCCTTGTGCTATTAACAAGATGCAAATTGATAATGCCCTATGTGACTTAGGATCTAGTGTAAGCCTAATTCCATATTCGGTTTATCAAAGACTTGATCTAGGGGAACTCTTACCTTCTAACATTACCTTGCAACTACTCGATAGGCCAATCAAGTTTCCAAAGGTAAAGTGGAATATGTTCCATTGAGGGTTGGGAAGTTTGTGTTTTCGGTGGATTTTGTTGTTCTAGAAATGGATGAAGATGCTACCATTCCTATCATTTTAGGTAGACCCTTTCTTGCTACCTCGGGTGCTATGATAGATGTCAAGTGTGCAAAGATTTCCCTCAAGGTAGGAGATGAGGTCATAGAATTCAATTTGAATGAAAGCATGAAATATCCAAGTTCTTCTCTTAAAAATTTCATGATGATTGACTCTCTTGCTCACCACTAACGATGCTCTTGAGAATGTTTTGTTAAACAAAGATAAGCTAGGTGCACCATGCAAGGAGATGGCATTGTGTGAGGAATTGCTTAATGGAAGCATGGAGGAAGTGGATGAACAATTGTTCTTGAAGATCTCAAGCCATGAAGCTTTGCAAGCGGCCGCAACAAAAGAAGGTAAAGGTGTGCGTATGGTAGAGCTCAAACCTCTACCATCACACCTTAGGTATGAATTCTTAGGCCCAAATTCCACTTACCCTGTAATTGTTAGTGCATCCTTGAGTGAAAGCCAAGCTCAAGTGTTATGTTTTGTCTTGAGAAAGTACCAAGGTGCTTTGGGCTATACTATTGATGATTAAGGGTATAAGCCCCGCTTTGTGTACAAACCACATAATGCTTGAGGAAGGAACTCTTCCTTCCATTGAACAACATAGAAAGCTACACCCTCAAATGGGAGAGGTGGTGAAAAAAGAGATCACCAAGCTCTTGGATGCGGGAATCATATTCCCCATCTCAAGCTCTAAGTGGGTCTCTCCCGTTCATGTCGTTCCTAAGAAGGGGTTTATGACCGTAGTCAAGAATGAGAGAGGTGAGCTCATTCCAACTAGGATGGTCACCAGTTAGAGGATGTGTATAGACTATAGACGTTTAAATACATCTACCAAAAAGGATCACTTTCCCGTTCCATTCATTGATTAAATGTTAGAGAGACTAACAAGGCACAAGTTCTATTGCTTCCTTGATGGCTATTCAAGATTTTTCCAAATCCCAATCCACCCTAAAGATCAAGAGAAGACAACATTTACATGCCCCTATGGAACCTTTTCTTATAGGAGAATGCCCTTTGGCCTTTGTAATGCCCCCGCAACTTTCCAAAGGTGCATGATGAGCATTTTTGGAGACATGTTGGAGGAAGAAATTGAGGTATTTATGGATGACTTCTCCGTAGGTGGGGTTTCATTTGAAGAATGCCTTGTGAATCTTGAGAAATGTTTGGCACGGTGTGTGAAGGTTAATCTTGTCTTGAATTTGGAGAAGTGCCACTTCATGATGGAGGAAGGAATAATGCTTGGACATAAGATCTCTCATAAAGGAATAGAGGTGGATAAGGCCAAGATCGAGGTTATTTAGAAGCTTCCACCTTAGCTGAATGTCAAGGGAGTGAGATCATTTTTGGGACATGAGGGCTTCTATAGAAGATTCATCAAGGATTTTTAAATCATTGCCAAGCCCCTTAATGATCTTCTTCAAAAATATGTTGAGTTTGTGTTTGATGGTAAATTCTTGGAGGCAATTAATAGATTGAAGAAGGCCCTAATCTCTACCCCCATTGTTCAAGCCCCAGATGGGGATTTACCCTTTGAATTGATGTGTGATGCTAGTGATTGGGTAATTGGAGGTGTTTTGGGACAACGTGTGGACAAGAAGCTTTATGTGATTTACTATATGTCCAAGACTCTAAATGGGGCCCAAAAGAATTACACAACAACAGAAAAAGAATTCTTGGCCATTGTTCACTCTTTTGAGAAATTCCGGTGTTATTTGTTGGGTTCCAAGACCATTGTCTTCACTGATCATGTGACTCTTAAGTATCTCTTTGCCAAGAAAGAGTCCAAGCCAAGGTTGATTCGTTGGGTGCTTGAATTACAAACTTTTGAAATAGAGATTAGGGATAAGAAGGGTGCAGAAAATGTTGTGGAGGACCAACTTTCTCGCCTTGAGGGTGATCAAATTCATGATGATGGTTTACCAATTGAAGATAGAATTCTTAATGATGTCTTGTATGCCATTAAGGTAAAGGAGCTCCCATGGTATGCCGACTTGGTGAATTTTCTATCATGTGGGGAGTTTCCACCTTCTTTCTCCAAGAACCTACGGAAGAAACTCAAGAGGGAGGCAAGACATTACTTGCGGGATGATCCCATCTTGTATAAACGAGGGGTTGATGGCTTGCTTAGGTGTTGTGTTCCGAATGAATAGGTGCCTTGTGTTCTAAAGATGTGCCATTCGGATCCTAGTGGTGGCCATATGGGTGTTTCCAAAACCGCCACTAAGGTTCTTCAATGTTGTTTGTGGTGGCCACATCTCTTCAAGGATTCATGGGGCTTTGTAAAGTAATGCGACAAATGTCAAAGAGTTGGGAATATCTCCAAGATGAATGAGATGCCTCAACAACCTATTCTTGAGTTGGAGGTGTTCGATGTATGGGGGATTGACTTCATGGGACCATTCCCATCTTCATATGGAAATCAATTCATACTTGTGGCTGTGGACTATGTTTCTAAGTGGGTTGAGGCCTTTGCTTCCCCAACAAATGACCACAAAGTTGTGTTAAAGTTGTTCAAAAAAATCATCTTCCCAAGGTTTGGTGTGCCTAAGGCTGTGATAAGCGATAACGGTTCTCATTTTGTTCACAATGGTTCCAAAAGATGTTGAGGAAACATAGAGTTCATCAACGGTTTGTCCTTCCATATCATCCTCAAACGAGTGGCCAAGTCAAGGTCTCTAATCGCCAAACAAAGCTTATTCTTGAGAAGACAGTTGCAAGGAATAGAAAGGATTGTTGGGACAAGTTAAATGATGCTCTTTGGGCCTATAAAATGGCTTTCAAGACACCTATTGGCATCACTCCATATCGCCTTGTCTATGGAAAATCATGCCATCTCCCGGTGGAGCTTGAACACCGTGCTTTGTGGGCAATCAAGAAGATAAACTTTGATTTAGAAAGTGCGGGGGAGAAAAGGTGGTTGGATCTTCATGAGCTAGAGGAGCTTAGACTTGATGCTTATGATTGTGCTAGTACCTACAAAGCTCGTTCCAAGGAAGCTCATGATAAGCTTATTGAGAAAAAAGAGTTTTGTGTTGGTGATAAAGTCCTCCTCTACAATTCAAGAATGAAGTTATTTTCCGGAAAGCTCATGTCAAGATGGAGTGGCCCTTTCTTGGTGAAAGATGTTTTTGCTAATGGTGGCGTGGAGATTTCTTCTTTGGACTCCTCATCTTCTTTCAAGATTAATGGTCATCGGCTCAAGAGATATTTTGATGGAGTGTTTGTTGGTCTTATTCATAAAATGATTCTTTTCAAGCTACCTTGAGTGGGGTGGTAAACGTCGAGTTAACGATGTTAAACAAAAGCGCTTACGGGAGGCAACCTGGATTCTCACCTCTACTCTCTTTTCTTTTCTTTCTTTTATTTTTCTTTGTTGATTTTTGCTCTTACCTTTCCTTTTGTTTTTGGTTTGTTTTTTAGGTTGCCTTCATTCATCATCTATGGACTTAATGTGTTTGATGAGTATGGCAAAAGGAGAATTTGGAGTGCAGGGGAGAGGGCACCTCGCAAGCTTGGAGAGGCCTCGGGTGCCCTTGCTTTAAAAAGAGGGTAATTGGATCAGGAACTCTCCGCGGACACGGGTGCCTTAGAGAGGGTGCGGGGAGAATCGGAGAGGGCGCGGCCTATTTTCACAAAAATGGATGAGCAACTCTCTGCGGTTGCCCCGCAGGCGGGGCAGTCCTAGAGAGGGCGCGGCCCCATTAAAGGTAAAAAAATCAAAATTTTCCAGAATAGACCCTCGGTTTCCCCGCGGTTGCCCCGCGGTCTCTCCGCGGGCACGGCAATGTCGAGAGAGGGCGCGGGCACCTAGGTTGTATAGTAACCCGACTTCACCCCTCTCTCTCTCTCTCTCTTCTCTCTTATTTTCCAATTCACCCTTATTTTTCCCCTTTCTCTCTCTTCCTCCTTTAAAACACTAACCCCCAATTCATCTTTCTCACACAAATTTACTCAAACTCACCCTAGTTTTCACTCAATTTTCCATCTCAATTTCCTTCATACTCCATTTTCATCAAGCATAATCTCATTTCTCGTGGTTTTTTCGGGAAACTCGAGTCCTAGACGGTTCTTGAGCTTACTTTGAGTCTTCAATCTTGGTATACTTCTAACCTTTTTTTTATTTTTGTCAATTTCAATTGATTATTACACATTGGTTTTGGTTTTCCATGATTAAGCATGACTATGATGTTTTTGGTAGTTTGTATAGTGATTTTGGAATTATTTTGAGTGGTTTGTGCCTATTTTTGTGTTGGATTGTTAATGTTGTTGGTTGTTGTTGGATTTTTGGTTGGTTTATTGCTTGTAACAGGTACTTTGTAGTTTGTAGTGGTTTTGGGTGGTATTGTTAAGGTGGTTTGATAAAATTGGTGGTAGTGTTGATTTTAGGTGATTGTGTGATTTCTTGTGTTGGGATTGAGACTATGGATTTGTTAAGGAAAG